CGATCACAGCGGAGTTGTAACAGTCGCTCTTCACTGTGACGTCATATCCGCCCCTTGGACCCCACACGCAGCGTCAGTCAATTAAAAGCTGCGGGTCCCCTGCATCACCTTCTTTCCCTCTACCACTCCCACACCAAAACCATGAACAACCACGAAACGATATCCATCTCTCGCGCCACCTCCATCTCCCGCGCTAGCAAACAGGGCTCGACCCTCTCGCGCAACCAGTCGCTCATCAAGAAGAACACGGCCCCGCACGACCTGCGTCCGTCCGATATCCTCATTGAGCGCTTCGTCGCGTGGAAGGCCATCGTCAAGCAGCTCATAGCCTACTTCGAGGCGTCGCGATGTGCACAACGCCAGTGCGAAGGAGTTGACCAAGCTCGGGGCTGTGATCCAGGTCCCGTTCAGGCGGGGAACCAGTTCTTGGGCGAGGGCGGACTGCAGGTGTATCTGCGGCTGCGGTACAGCGAGAGCCTGAAGCTGATGTGGACTTGCCAGGACATCTACTATGACATCCGAGACAAGACGCGCGCAGTTGCAGACCAGCACGCGAACCTCGGTCGTACAATCGACAGTTCGATCGTGCAGCACTTGCAGAAGCTGCGGACGGAGATCAAGGCGCATATCAAGGCGTTGGGGCTTTTTCATCCTTCTCTCTCTCTCGCTCACTTGATTGGCTGCAGAACGTTCAGAACGATACGGGCAAATTAGCTACCAACGTCGCTAAGGAACGCGAGCTGTCTGAGCGTCTCATCTCAGAGCTTTCCTCTGGAATCTCTTCGTTCAAGAACACCCCCATGTCTGTTACCAACCGAACCGACCCGTGAGTAGAGATTCTCGAGGGCGCACGCTATCGAATGACCACCTACTTCTAGATACGTCATCAACACTGCCGTCCAACGTCAACTCACGAAACAAGTCCATGAAGAGAATCTCCTGCAGAAGTCGATCATCATTATGCAGCAAAATAGCGCGCACTTCGAAGAAGGCATCGTGAGGGCGATCCAATCAGCATGGCAGACATACGATGAGTGGCAGGCCCGCATGAGCCAGACCGTCTCCACCATCCACACAGAGCTCACCACCCACATGTCATCCCTCGCCCCAGACCGTGAATGGCTCGCATTCAGCGGCCGCTCGGACCACCTTCTCGACCCGGACACTCCGCTGCGGAACCCGCTCACGATCAACTACCCAAGCAAGGAGGACACGAGCGTGCAAGCCGTGCACACCGGAATGCTCGAGCGCAAGAAGCGTTTCACCAGAACGTACCGCGAGCACTATTTCGTGCTTACGCCTGCCGGATTCCTACATGAATACGCCAGCGCAGACCCGCTTGTCGCGCGCGAGCCGGTGTTCAGCCTGTTCCTGCCCATGTGCACGCTCGGGCCGCCGAGCAACGCCAGCGCCAAATCGCACAAGTTCCATATCGAGGGCAGGAAGGACGGCAGCGGGACGACGAAGAGCGGGAGCGTGCGCCGGTCGCTGAGTATCACTCGGCTGTCGGGCGGCGACCATGCATGGAGTTTCCGTTCGAGAAGCCGCGAGGATATGATGGAATGGTGGAACGACATCCGAATGCTCTGTGCGCGGTACCTCGTCGCGAGCGAGCAGATGGAGCGGAGCGGGCCGGTTGCGGCTGCTGTGCGGTCGGCTGGGTACATCAGCGATGAGGAAGATTCTGAGGAAGGAAGCAGCATCGACGAGGAAGACGACGACGACGAGTTGGAGTATGTCGACGTGCACGAAGAGATGGGTCCGCCGAGTTACTCTAACGGACCGCATGCGTTGGAGATGGGCGCAAATGGGTACCCGGTAAGCCTCGTTGTCTTCCTTTCGCCGGACACAAGCCGAATGATGATCTTACAGGTCGACAAGAAGGGTCATTCGCGCAATCCATCCGCTGCGGATGGCGGTGCCAATGTCTCCCGCCGACCGAGCAAGCGGCAGCAGGAAAAGGCACCGGAAGGCCGGCCCCCGCACGCAGCCGAGGAGCCAACCGCTGTGCCGGAGCCGCCAGTCGATGACGCTGCCGCTGCGCCCCCCGTGGAGAGTCGGTTCCATGAAGACGTCTAGATCCAGCGCCGTGTTCCCGGACGTTTACTTCTACTGTATTTGTACGACCTCTGTTCTTAGGATTGGTTCTGAATGATTGATTCATCATGGATATCTGCATTGACGGGGAATACGATGTTACAGACTTCTCCAACGCTTGACAACGACTTGTTGAATGCAGGGACCTGTTTGGATCGAGCCAACAGTTCTTCCTACGAATAGACCTGGGTGATCAAGATAGTAAGGCGAAGTAAATGATGCGCGCAGCAGCAAGCAACAAATGAGAGTTGTCCTCTCATCAGAATGAGTTGGTCACTAATACCTCCCCGTGGTGATCAGAGATGAGTGTTGCCCGTGCCTCGAGGGCAACCCAGTGCGAGAGGCTGCGCCTAGTCCCACATGGTGGGGCGCATGAGTGCAATAAAGCGCATACATGTGTGCCGGCGACGCGCCAGCACTAACTTCTCGATCGCTCCTGAATGGGTTGGAGAGCCTGTGCTTACGGGTACAGCGGAGAGCGTGATAGATGGCAGGGACACAGCGGATTGGACCCAGACTTGGCTAGACGAGGGGCACAAAGACGGGGTCGGACTGGTCGGCACTCGTGTGCTGTAATGACAGTGGGCACATGGCTGGTAATCCAGCCTGGGGGATGCCATTCGCGACGTTCTGAGCGAGCTGCGTGGTAAGCCGGCCCCAATCCAGTTCTACAAGTGACGTGGACATCGTTCCATAGGTTGGGCCTGGCGTATGGTATGATTCTCGAAACATGACACTCGGCGGATATGGAGCACGGTATGGGTCAGACACGTGGAAAGGAGGCACAGCAGAGGGGAATGAGCGGCTCTAGTAGCTCGTCTCTCATTGCCTCGTTTTGGCTCTCCCGTGCCAAGACCTGTTCAGCGTAGTGACCCGTGAAGCGGAGACCGTGCGGGTATATCTGCGCCTGAAATAAGCCTCAATCGTGCGGGCTTCCCGGTTGATCTGATCTTGGAACACGTCCAACAACTCCTTGCATGCGATTACTAGATTCCATGTCGTGGACTGGGCCAGCGTTGCTGTAATGCTTTCGCCATTATTGATTTCGCACGCTCAACGGAGAAGAAGAGATACCAACGTGACCGTCACAATCGCCGCCAGTCTCCCCATCACGTCAAATTATACGTCAGAACACCCTTCTTCTGCTTCCTATCAAGCGGGGAACTTGCTGTGGACCTCATATCTTTACTGAAGACAGATTGCTGGGGGCCAGCTACTCAGTTATCTATGTACGTAGAGTCAGTTTGCACCCGCACCAACTCTCAACGGTCGTAGAGCGCACGGAATCCAGCCGGGAAGTGACAATCATCGCTGCTTCTTAGATATCGGCCCTTGGTCGGGCCCATCCTGCCTGGTGCTCGAATCAAAGAATCCGTCACCGGACGTGTGGTGACTAGTGCAACCGGAGCTTCTCTGGGGCATAAGACCGCCTGACACACACACCAACTCTCGCCTTTCTTCTGCCCGCCCAGCTCGCCCGTTTTTCGCTGTGAACGTCCGAAGCGTCTCCACCCCGGAATCCGATTCACTATGGCGATCGATCTGAGTCATACGGTCAACGCTGACCAGTCGACGTTCCTGGGCTTTGGGCTGGAGGGGATATTTTACGGTGCGTAGGTCTGGCACAATTCTCCGTTGTTGTCGCTGAGGACGGATGGGTGTGTGGGGCAGGTGTCCACCTCTTGCTCCTGGGCACCGCGCTGGTCCTCTTCGTTCGCCGCAAGTCTCTCAAGAACAGCTCCGTCGCGCCCATCCTTGCGGCGACCCTCATCCTCTTCTGCCTCTGCACACTGCATTTCGCCCTCAACTTTAACAACGTGTATGTCTCCTTGGTGCGATAAGGATTTCGGATGGAGCGGGGGCCTGGTTCTAATCCGAGCGCACAGATGGTCCATGTCCGACCGCACATTGCCGGCGAGACGCCTTTGCTTCTTGGTACGTGATCGACGTCTGCGCGAGTCTGAGGTAGTCTGACGGTCGATACAGCGGCGGACACGTCGTTCCTCCTCGCCGATTTCTTCGGACAGCTCGTGCTAGTGCGTACGTCATAGGATTGTGAGGGTCGCCGTCCGACGTCTTGCTGCAGATTTACCGCTGCTATCTGGTCTGGGGCCGCAACGTTTGGGCCGTCATTCTGCCTATCCTGCTTGCGCTGGGGTCCGTATGTGAGTTCTGCCTGAACCTACTTCCGCTGCCTTGACGACCCTGATCACGCCTAGCATGCGGCATGGCGGTGACCGGGATCGTACAACAAACCAGCCCGACGAGCAACCAGGTCCCAGTGGCGCTCATCCCCATGGGCGACGCGACTTTCTCGCTCTCGATCATCTGCAACTTCATCACCACGGGCCTCATCGTCGGCCGGCTGTGGATCCTCTCGCGGGGGATGGATGCTGCGCTGATTAACGGCAAGGCGCAGTCGCTCGCTCAGAAGGCCATCGGCATCATCATCGAGTCGGGTCTGCTCTTCTTCCTCACGCAGTTTGTGTTCATCGTGCTGTTCGCACTGGCGCATCCCGCGCAGGCGATCATCGAGCCCATCGCGTGTCAGGTTTACGTGCGTCCGTCCTGGCTTCGCAGTGGGCTTTCATACTGAATGACACGCAGGCGATATCACCTCTGCTCATCTTGGTGCGCGTCGGCATGGGCATGTCGTACGAGCAGTCCACCTTCGAGACGACGGACCACGGCCGTGCCACGCACTCGCATACAAACACACACTCGACGAGTCTCCATTTCTCCGGCGCGAGGATGGGGGGCAGCGCATCCAAGATGGATGGGAGCACGGCGGATTACGAAATGGGTGCGTACGAGGAGCAGTCGAAGGAGATCCCGTCTGTGGTGGAGGTTTGAGCTGTACTTATATCATCAAAATCTATCGGAACAAGATACCACTGTGTTATAGCGATCCATTCTTTTCTTCTGGATTGCCTGCGCTCTGGTTTGCAAATAGCAACGTCGGCCAAGGCGGCTGTTCACCGCCCTCCAATTCAGGCTTATTGCCTTTTTGGGAGGAGACCCTGATGATCCATTCGCCCAGAGACCAGGGTCAGCTGTTTTGTGCGTCCAGTGCCACGGGCGGCAAACACTCGTACATCTGAGCTTCACCCTCATTCTCGCTTTGCCACTGTTTCTGTCGTCCACAAAATGACGCAGCGTCCAAGGACATCTGCAAACCTGGCCCCTGTGCTCTACCACCACCGATACATAATATTGACGCGCTCGTCCTAATTTCTATGCGCAGTACAACGATACACGAATCAGAATGCTCATGCGAATAGACGTGGATGTTAGGATGTGGACTGCGGGTGCAGCTGCTTCAAGTAACCCTTCCCTCTGCGTCTCCGACACCCACTGGATCGACGGGAAACGTTGATCCCCCGGCCGCGATAACTGGCTGGCGACTGGCTTCAGGATACTATATATCCCGACGATCTTCCCCGGTCTCCACTGACGGCTGGACTCCCTCTCACTCAGTTTTGTCCGGCTTTGGGTGTTCCCGCGTGGTTATCCCTCATTAATCCTGTATGCATGGGACTCAAAGCAAATCGGATCTTTCTTCTGCATGATATATTGAACCACGTCGTTCACTCTGATTTGTCTTGAGGTAGGTTTGGACGTCCCCCTTCGTCTCTGAAGTCCTCACAAGAAGTCCTTACAAGCCCTCGACATCGTATTTCGCCCTCAGACACCCAAACCGTTCATTCTAGACCCACTGCTTACACGATCCGAATGAGTGATGCGGGAATCCCAGCGGTATTTGGGTGAATGCCTATGGATGCTCACCGACGTCTCCGCTGATCGGCCCGAATGTCCGACGCTGGATCACATGGGGACTCTCGTCACCTGGATGACCATTCACAAGGGAACTGCCGGTGCTAGGACGATCTTGAGCTAAGCAACTCCAACATATCGCTGCGGAGCAAACGAAGTATAACATTCTCCGCTGTTGCTCCAGTAGCCAACGTGTTGAGGCTGGCCTTCGGCCTGCTCCGAATGATGGAGACCCGACGTTTTCAAACAAGCAAATTAGAGCAGGGGTCCACCCGGGAAGCGCCATTCGATACGAGCCTATCTCCTTTATGCGATTGATTCGTGAACAAGTCGAATAAAGTTTGAGCTTCTTTTGCTGGGGCGCGGGTATCATCCACGGCTGCGTTTTCATGTTCTTGAGCTGCTCAGTGCTTCGACAAGAGAAGTTTCATTCGTTGCCTATGAGTCGAAACCGGAAAACTAAGACAAGTAACTCGATTGCTGATGTTGGAATACGGAGTTGAGTCATGAATGCCCGCAGCATGATTATTCTCACACCCACGGTTCGATCGAACACCACGTTGTCGCCAATGGCTGCTTCGACTGCTCGCGCGTCTGACTCGACCCCTGAGTGCCAGTTATAGACGCAAGACTTCCGAAGAGGAAAAGAAGAAATCACACGAGCCACCGATCTCCACTCGTCAGACGGAGAACACTCGATCTATCCCACACCGCGTCTGATTCGATTGTCAGCGGCTCCGATGAACATCGACGTAAAAGCCGCATCGAATTAACAAACCGAAAGTCTCGTAACCCACGAAACAATACGCGTCGTTGCAGCCCTTCCCCTCGCTTTTTGTACTGCGCCCATGCCTGACTTGTCCTCGTTCAAGACGAGGCGCTCCGCTCGCAAGCTCGGACGCCTTTCGCCCTCTCGCAGCGCAGGCATCTCCGAAGAGAGGGACCAGCCCCTCCCAAAGACACGGATCCGCAACTCGTTCGCCAAGACGGACTACTCGCGCACGACGCGCGACGAGATCCATTCGCCCATCTCCCATATCGAGGCGAGTGTCTGCTGCTTCGTTCTAGGATCCGAATGGCTGATACACGCGCGTCCCAGTCCCAAGATCTGTACGCGCGCAGCTCCTACCACGACCACAGACTCAGCGTGGCGAGCGAGCCTGACGACGCAGACAGCCAACACGCCGGCACCGGCGCGATCTGCATCCGCTTGCGCGTCGAGTCGGGCCAGGAATCTGTGCCGCTGCGACAGGGATTATGGGTACGTCCTGTGTTGTCGTTGGATGGTCGCAAGCTGACGGGCGTGACGCGTGCAGCAACGCGTTGTGTCGGTGTTGCATCTTTGCACGCGTGCCTCATCCGGGTCGGGGCACGGGGAAGAGATAGCGAATAACGTCTGGGTGCACAAGGAAGCGTAGTTGCGAGGCGAGGCGAGGCGTGCGAACGATGTCAGTGGAAAACTAGCGAGTGAGGGAGGAGAGAACGGGGTGAATTGGACGATGTACTGCGTATCCGTGTAACTGTAGAATAAGTACGAGCATAATAGTCAAAGCAGCTGGATGAAAAACGTCTGCAGTAAACTGAAGTCCACCCACGCCCAACATGGGGGACGGCAACGCACCGAATCCTGCCCCTGACAACAAATGCGTCTGCCGCGCCCACCATGTGGTAATGGGCCCCGAGTTTGTTTCCGGCTGTTCCCGTTTCCCGGGAAGAATCGAGAACAGGGAGAAGATCGAATAGAGACTTTGCTGGTGCACGAGCTGCAAGGGCATCGCGATGGGACGAGGAGAGAAATGCGAGAGTGGCGGTTGATGCGATCATCTGCCATCACTTTCTCTGCGGACGTGCCGATTTTCCATCTGATCCGTCAACATGCCGTCTCTCAGTGCAAGAACTTGTTGCACATGCGTGAACGTGCTAATGAACGATTCGCGGAATGAATACGTCGAGGCTCATACGCCCACTGTGAATAGCTGTCTGCGCTGCACCACACGAGGATGATTTTGATCTACAGTAGCTGACCTGTCCTACAGGCTCCGCGCACACTAAGATCAGCCCTCGGATTAAATAATAGAAATATTCCAATAACATATGACTGTTCTTCATTAGTGCTAACGCAAATACAACTACATCACACGGACGGATCCGATGAATACGGGCCAAGCTGATACGAAAACGGAGCTTTCGAGCCAGATGTAGCATCAGGGCTTGCCGGCTGTTGCGAATCCAAAGCCGCGTTCTCATAAGATTTTCCCAACGCAATGCGGATCAGAATGAGCAGGGGCGAGATAGCCTGTGTCCAGAAAGCAACATCAGCCAGTCGATCCTCCAAGAGTTGGGTTCGCAAAAGTATACGCACGTAGATTTGAATGGCGATGGGCTCGACGATCGCCTGTGCCGGATGCGCAATCGCGAAGAGGACGATGAACACAAACTGCGTCACGAAGAACAGCAGTCCCGACTCGACGAAGATCGCGGTGGCGCGCTGGGACGGCGACAGATTCCGACTCGTGTCACCCTCCGTGCGGCGGGACACCCACCAGAGGCGTGCGACGATGAGCCCGGTGGTGATGAAGTTACAGATGATCGAGAGCGAGAAGGTGGCGTCGCCCATGGGCACGAGGGATGCGGGAACTTGTTCCGCTGTCGGGCTGATTCGCTGGACGATTCCGGTGACGGCCATTCCGCATGCTGGGTAAGCGAGTTCAGTGGATGAAAGATGCGGACGGCTGAATTGAAAGACTAACAGACGGAAGCCAGGGCCAAAAGGGTCGGCAGCAAGATGATCAGGCCATTACAAGCCCAGATGAGGTAGCAACGGTAGATCTTGGACGGTGTCAGGCTGTCAGATGTATGCTTCTCGTCAGACTGACCAAAACCAATTGCCCAATGAAATCAGCCAGAATGAACGAAGTATCCGCCGCTAAAAAGCAATTGAAAGCTCGTCTGGTGCGAAGAAGATAGGCTATGAGACTAACCCACTAGCCGTGGCGTCTCAGCCGATATATGCGGGCGTACTTTGACCATCTGCGAGCACTGTCTAGTCAGCCTGCACGAGAATCCCACGACGTGCTCACCGTCGAGACATAGACGTTCTGAAAGTTCAGCGCGAAGTGCAGCGTGCACAACGCAAACAGGAGCAGCGTTGCGACGAGGATCGGACGTGCGGTAGGCTGCTTGAGCGTCTGACGGGACACAAAGAGGACTACAGCAGCGCTGAAGAACACGATATGAATCCCTGAGAACCGTTCTAGTCTGGTCGTAAAGCCATGGGACTTGGCTCACCGTAGAAGATCCCCTCGAGTCCAAACCCGAGGGAAGTGGCCTGGTCGGGGTTCACGGTGTGCGAGAGATCAATCGTCATCTGTTCAGCGAGTGGACTGCAAAGGAGGAGAAGGGGAAGGGGAAGGCCGTCAAGAGAAGATTCGGCCCAAGTGTTTCAAGTTTTGTTGACAGACCGGTCGGCGATTGGACGGCGAAGCTGGGCCCATGCCGGTACCTGAGCCGAGAGAGGAATTCTCATGGTCGGAAGTGCCTGAATATCAAGCTAAAAACTGCACAAAGATGGTGATGGATGAGAGGAAGGGCATGTGAAGGTAAATGCTGATACTCATCTCATCGCATATCGCTGTACAGCACGGATCTCATAATACCTGTCGAGCCCGCGCAACCAAAACACGGGGAGAAAATTTAGCTGACGAGGTTCGCTCGAGGAAAGACTCGATGTCCCAACCTCAGTCTTTCAATATGAGGGACGGAACCACCACCAATAATGTTTCCAGACCTGGGAGATCTGTCAAATCAGTCACGTGAATATGTTTACCCACGTGCTTAATCATCCCTGGTACTTACCTCATTCTCCACGCCTGCCTACTTCTTCGCGGATACATCTTCCCCGTAGCCGAATCCCACTGCAAACACCATCGATCACCGGGGACAAATTCCTCCGCCTGCGCCGATGGCATTCGGACGGACGGGCTGCGGAACTGCGCCGTCAGTGCCCGTCACTCACGGCTGTATGGATCAGAGACGCTTCAGGAGTCCGGGTAGATGCCCAAGACATCGTTAAGCGCGGCTCATCAACCTTTGGTTTCTTCACGTCTGTTGCCCTGGGAGGAGCCCTTGTGGGCTCATTTCTATCCAGGCTTGAAAATCACCGCAGAGTTTTGAAGACACGGTGTCAACTCAGCCAGGCTCATGATCAGGCTGCAAAGAAGAGCCAAGTTAATTTGATCATCTCCGACCCATGTCTCAAAAAGCTTGACTGCCTGCGCATACAGACGATCTTGCGCCACCAAATGAGTAAGCCCAGATCGGTTTGGGGGTGCCATTCACATATAAAAGACAGCGAATCCTCAGCAGAAGACCCATAAACCGAAATGGCCTTCCTCTGCTTACCTTTTGTTCTGTCCCTCGCAGCGGCTTTCCTGCCTGCGATTTGCGCGCAAAGCGACAACTCTACCACTTTCGACTGGAGCGCAGTTCGTTGTTGTCGCAGCAGGTCCAGCGAGTCTCACTGACGTCCTCTCGAAGCTTCAAGCTACCCCGAATCTCACCTGGGTCGACTGCTACGGCTCCATCTTCCAGTGCACCCGCCTGCAAGTTCCGTTCGACCACTCGAACCCTGGCGCCGGCACCGCGGGGATCGCCATTCTGCGACTTCCGGCGACCGTTGACACGTCTTCGAAAGACTACCGCGGCCCAATCTTGTTCAACCCAGGCGGACCAGGAAGCGGTGGTGTGGACGCGGTGCGGACCGTCGGACCTAGTTTCCGCGCTCTGATTGGGGGAGAGTATGATTTCTATGGATTCGATCCTCGCGGTGCGTGCCTTTCTTGT